TTTATTTATATATATAATATATTTTATAATACATATATTGTAGATAAAATTGCAAATATTCGAGCAAAATGATATATTATAGCTTCTAGTTTTGCAAAAATAAAATAGTGTGTGCAATTACTAAACACTCATACAGACTCGCCCTTTCTCGTATGTATCAAAGGCAGAGTTATATTTAAAGAATTATCTTTATTAATTGGAATCAATAAAATATAATTCATTTTGTCGTCTGGATACAGCGCAATGACTAAGAAAGACAAAAAGGTTAATCTTTCTGTAATTTCAATTATCGCGAGTAATGGAGAATGCAATGAATAATTATCACATTGGCATTTATTCTAAGGAAGCTTTATATGTGCTACACGATTTTTCGAGAAAACTGTGTAATATAAAGTACTGGTAATATATATCAAGTATATATCACTGGCAGTTAATATTTGATGTATATATGTTCATCAAATCCAGCAGCCCTGCGACTGTAATAAGGTTCGGTTTTCTGAGAACTCTAAAGTCGTTGCAAAACACGCCGTATTTGCACGTAAGCACTGCTGCTGTCTGCGGAAATTACAAGCCGGAATTGCGCGGAAATAACGCTTCGAAAGATCCGACGAACGTTGCGCGAATAAAGTTACAAGTAATACAGTGCTGTTTGCGTAGTCTGTCATTAAAAAAGTAAGCAAAAATTCACCGAATCTTTTGATAGAATATGAATAATATGAAGCAAGAGAAAAAAATTTCATACAAAGTTGTTGATCCGTCAGAAATATTTAGATATTTCACTCTTAGCTCTTTCACTTTTTAGAAATCGTGTAAATTATATACTAAATTTGATTAAACTATATAGACGGATATGTACTTTTAACAAAACATGTACTTAGCTCAAAATATTTTCTCAACGGTTCTGATATATTGATAATCGGTTGTTTAGGGAAACTGAGAAGGTAAGTTACGACGCGACGTATACACGTATTTGAGAAACCGATTAGTTCACCGTTGTGGGGATAAGGATGAACGCATAAAGCCGTGGGCTAAATTTGGAGTAACTCTCTTGCACGTAATGTATACGTAACTTCGCTTACAGTATATGCATTTCAAATTAAATCACGTGGCGTGATTGGACAGTCGCGTAGGAGAACCACAGAGCTGGTTGTATGGTATATATGCTTGCGAGAAAACCTTTGGGACGTCAATATCACAATTCCGGAAATCGGCAAAATGTCAGCTCCTAATGGTACATTAACCTTAGATCTGTCCACTTACTGAAATCACTGCAGAACTACATTTCATATTTGAATTTCTACCTCTTCTAAAAGAAGAATGAGAATTGTGAAGACACCATTTATAGTTTGTAGGATATTTAATAATAAAATAATATACATATAAATTTATGATAGATAAATTTGTATATGATTAACCTAAATAATGGACAAAATCTATAATTGTTATTTAATTACAATTCATTTAGGTATATTGCTTATTATTGGGAATACATGTATATCATACAGTTCATAATGTTTTTTATTAAATTGTTTTCTATATTAAATTTTCGAATAAGTAGTTCAAATTTTCAATTTAAATTTTTAATTTAAATCGAATATTCCATTTAATTTCCTAGAAATTTTATATTCATTACACGCGATATGTTGATGTCTGACATTGGGCAATCATAGAGAACTCTTTGCAAAGTTGAACCTCCTGTGTTCACTGTTATACCGACAACTTTTGCAAACTTTCGGCGAAAACTTTTTAAACTGTCGCACGCTAATCAGGATTCTTGTCTCAATCATGAATATTTCTGACTTTGTATCCTTGCTTCCAGTGTTGACTCTTTGACAGTTTCATCATAAAATGATATGAATTATTTTAATTTATTATGTTACACATTCTTTGAGATAGAAATTTATTTATTTTTTTAGATGGAATGACAGGTGCAAGATATAAATGTCAAAGTCTTCCTTTCTTTTCTCTCTCTCTCTCTCTCTCTCTCTCTCTCTCTCTCTCTCTCTCTCTCTCTCTTTCACTGTGGCCTTTGCTTTCAAGAGCGCGCGACATCGTTGCTATATTTGGTGCAATTGCCAATATCGAACGCCAACTGCAGTTACACTGCCTGAGCAACGATAAAGTTATATTCGTCATCGTTCGCGCATCGATCACATAGATCGTTGTATTTATAGAAGACATAAATAAATCATATAATGTACCGCGTTGCAATATTTATAACTTTTATTTTGAAAGTACACTTGCTTTCGAATTCTTTTGTGATCGATAGTTTGTGACAACGAAGTGCATTTTCATATAATAGAAAAGTATACAAACTTTCATCGCGACTTTCGTGCTGTTCTGCATTTATTTATTTATTTATGTGTATCTATTCGTTCGCAGCTATACAAAGTTGATGCGTCTTTTTATCTGATGTACATATCTGATATTAGATGAAATTACATGACAACCATCGTTAATTTTAAAAAGTTTTCTTCGCTTTATCAAGTATCGACATTTTAATATATAAAAGAAAGAACAAGAAAAAGATAACTCTGTGTATGTGCGCGAAACTTACTGTGTATCCTGACATTAACGGGAAGCTTTTGTCCATTAATATCGCACGTGTGGGCACGTTACGTATTAACCAAGCTTTGATCATAATAAAATTTTTACCACGTTTTGACTTTTTGACGTATGATCAGAAAAGGCGCACAAGGGAGTGAGCCATATTTCACGTCATCCGCTTTTCTCATAAAACTCGTACTCATCCGACGTGGCCAAAGGATCTGACAGATTCATCAGCGGTTCGATTTATTTTTTCCGCCGAGTTCCAATCGACCGCCATGGTCGTTCATGATTTCCTATCGCATCCTCCCACCTAAACCTTAGAAAATATCACCCGGGCATTGCACGGAAAGTGAAAAACTCGTTTCCCGAACCACGTAATAAATCGCGGCAGCCAGCAGTCAGGCAGTCCGAGTGCAAACCAGTGCAGAAAAGTCATGCCACGAGAACCGACGCAAAACGATGCAAAGCAATGCCGACGTTCAAGTGGCAGCAACCTTTTCATCTTGGGTCACGGATCTCTACGTGCGATTTCAGCTTTTCTTAGCGCGCTGTTTGACAAGCAGATCTTTCGAAATTCCGGAACAAATCATTGGTATTTCTACCTCAGAAATGCGTGAAGCTACGCGATGTAGCATTATGATATACTTGTGCGTACTGTCTAGGAGAAGCTCGCGTAAATCTTGATTCGACGAGCTTTAGATGTTCTGTTGTCACTCCTGATGTCACTTTTCGTTCCTGTTTTCTTGAATTTTCTTTTTTTCTTTTTATTCTACTTCCTTAGTTAAATCACTCGCAAATTCTATTCTTTATCTATTAGAATTTGCATACCCCTTGCTATTAATATACCGTACTCTTAGAAATTGCTAAAGATTTTAATTTTCATGCTTTTATTACTCAACAAATAAGAAATAATACCTATAACCTGGACTTTTAAGTGCTTTTTAAATAATTCTATGTGAATTTATATACCATATTTGTAGTCCCTTGAATTGTGTATATAAATTTACATGGAATTATTTAAAAAAAACACCTAAGATTCAGCCATTATTTCTTATTTGTTGTGTATTATACAGTCTTAATAAATTTATTATTGTTTATTACTCAAACAAGCACTTTTGGGAAAGATATACGATTTTATATGTACTGTCGCTCGGTCACTATTCACACCATCTTTATTCAATTAATGACTTTTGTGACTTTAACCATCGAGTAGTCAAGGCTAAATGATCTCGCTTTTGCGTTGCAACTCTATCCCTAATTCATCACTCTACGTACATAGTAAATGCAAGGTGTGCTAAAGGTCGCATCTCTTCTCTACTTCAGTTAATAACGATAAATGTTGGCTGCCACAGACCACCTTACACGGGACTCGTAAGATCTGAGCGTCGACGGAAATACGTTTGGGAAATTAAGGTGCAAAATTAATATTCAGTATGGTGGCGACCTTTGCGGTCGATATGCGGTCACCCACGGTTTCGTATTTGTTCACGTTGTTGCCTCAGCAACTGCTTTGTCAAGAACATATCTTCCACGACCACTATTAACGATGACGAATTGCATACTGACAAATTATCCATTCGCAGATTTTTTGTGACCTGCCTCTCCAGAGAGATTGTTCGTGAGAAAGAAATGTTAGCGTAAAATTAATTCCTTTTATCGCAGGTAGGTATGCATCGCGGCGACTCATTCACGACAAATGGAATATCGCGCAGGGAGTGCCACCGATTAATTAGGAGCTGTCCAAGCGACTGTGATAAATAGGTTGCGTAACAGGATCATTAAGATCTCGGAAAATTTCAACTGAACTTGTAGCGCGGTGTAATTAACGTGTAATTCATCGTTTACCTGTAAATAATTTCGATATAATGGTTTCGCGTTGTGTAATAGATTTAATATCCCATACATCGCGTACGTGAATCCTCAAGGATTAGGACAATTTCGACATTAATCATAGGCCATCGATAAAATAACAGCGAATTATTGAAAGCAGCAGCTCGAATCTCATCGTGGTTGTAAATCTGAATTCCCGAATTAATATGAGTAGCAAATTGTTTTTGCGAGTGCAAGCCGCTAAAACATGAACTTCTCGGCTTTACCATAAGCCGCGCTAATTTCGGCATTGTATTCGCTTTAAGTCACGGGATCACAAACGTTCTCTAAGCACATGAACTGCGGTAATCTGTGTACAGTGGGACTTGCGAACACCTGTTCTGTTTCAACACTGAGTGTAATTAGTCACTTAGTTACCTTGGGTATATTACGAATTATGGAGATCTTAAATGTAATTATAAACATCGATTTAGTATAAATATATCACAAAACTTTGTATTGTTGATTTTATGCTCTCTAGATGATTAAAAAATTTATAATAAATGTCTATTTAATATTCTATTTATTATCGTGTATATATTATATATTATACTAACAGTGTGTTTAAAATTTGATTTTAGCTGTACAAGAGGAGATTTCTTGAAGCTATTTTTACACCTGGAGAGTAAGGGCATTTCTGAATACACCCCTTGGTCTGGTGTGCTTTGCGGAGAATTGCGTGACATCCCGCAAGTTCTTTACAGCTCGAGATCAACACTCATTCTGGAGTTTCACACACAGTTCCCATCATCTAATGCTACTGGCTTTTCCGGCACTTTTCGTTTCATCGATAGACGTGAGTTGAAGTTTTTAAGATTATATAACTTTTTAAATACTAATGATAAGAAAATTTAATAAATTATTCGTGAAGATATTAAAGTAAAGAGTTGGAAGCAGAATATAAAATGTAATTGATTATGTAAAAATCTTAATAAAGATCATTGCTGCCAAAAACGAAACGCGTGCAGCCATTTATCAAAAATCGACATTTCCGATGAAACGAAGCCGTTGCACATTCTTGGAAAGCTTAAGACAGAAAATAAACTCTATTAAGAGTGACGGTATTTTAACAGAAACTTTTTCGTTTCTCGGTCTGGAAAATTCGTTTGGCTTGAGAGAGTTCACTCAACCTCGAGCTACTGCGTTTATCGAGAAATTTTAGATCTCGTTTTACGAAACTCTTTCAAGTTCACTTCTAAATCACTCCGCAGCTCAATCGGAAAATTATTTCAAAGTTATCAGGAAATCGCTACGAACGATCTGTCATAATAAATGTTTCCAGGATGATTTTAATTAACATATACGCGCACACGTATATTTATATGCGCGCGTCTATGTGCATATATTATACATAAAAAGGTGTTATGTACTTTTGTGAAACACAAACTGTTAAAATTAGTAGTATAATTTCGTAACTTAACAATAATAGATTGTTAAGAATTTTTCTCTGGAATAATAAGCTATCTGTGGTCATACACACACACACACACATACACGCGCGAAAATAAAATCGAAAATTTTTAGACTGTACGACCAGTTTAGAAATTTTGTAGATTTTAAACTGACGGTTCGTTAGTAAGCGTTTCACGTATATAACTGCCCGACACATGCTTTAAACATGCTGTCCTGCAAACTTTTTATTTTACTCACGTGTATGCAGTCGGCTTACGTATGCCGCGAATAACAGTGACATAATTCTCTCATGGTGGGTGAGAGTTCCCTCTACAATTTGGAATCATTTCTACATCTTTTTTTCTACACAGGATGCAGCGAGATTCTCTTTATGTTTCTACAACTTTCCGCGTGAAATTTTGTACTCCCTATACAGGGTGTAACTGAAATAACGCTCACTAATCATACAGTGCTATTCCTAATACAAAACTAAGTCGAAAAGTTCTTTACCATTTTGCAATTTTCGCAATAGTTAACGAAATATTAATTTCTAAATATTGCCGAATAAATGGATGAAATCGATGTATAAGACAATTTTAAGATAGACTTTCCGTGTTCTTTGTGAAATATTTTGAAGATTTTTCTTAAAGAACTCTTAAAGATATATATTAAAGCTGTTTTATACGTCGATTCTAGACATTTTGCTATTGGATAATTAAAAAATATTCCGAAAATTGCAAAATGGTAGAGGACTTTCTCGTCTCAGTTTTTTATTAAAAATAGCACTATATGCTCTTTAAATCTGAATCAGTGGATAGTCACTAATTATTCAATGGCATATTTGGCACTGATAATCAGTGAAGTTCAACTAAAAAAAGGAAGAATGTCTGAGCATTATATAATTAAAATATTGATATTCACATGTTAATTTCAATATCATATTCATTGAATTTATACTAAAACAAGGTTAGATCACATAATAAAAATCAGCTAGATTAGGGAGCTCACATTTCATTCACTGATTCATTGATTACCAGTGGCATACTTGGCACTGATATCACTGATTATCCTGATTCAGATTTAGAGAGTGATTAGTGAGTGTTATTTCAGTTACACACTGCATAAAAAATACAATATTTCTCAAGATGCGATTCTCAATATGTGTATTCTGTTTTTAATACCAATCTGATCATTATTTTTAGGACTAACTATAAATCATCTTTTTCATTAATTGCATATTTCTGTACATTTCAATACATCTTAATTCTTACTAAATGTAAACAATAACAAACAAGATTTATGAAAAATTAAATAAAGGATAAAAAAATAACAAAAATAACAACAAATATTGATGAACAAACTGCTATGATAGCTATCATTTAGTGTTTTTTATATTATATAATTTGCAAATTTCAATTTTGTGGAATGTAATCAATATTTTGGATTACCTATTACATATTTGTCGGTATTTTATCAAAGTTTACAATTAAATACGGCATAAAGTTCTTGATGTATCATAAGAAAAATACACTTGTGCCATCCCTATTACCCGGGAAAACGTCACGAATCCATTTTGTTCGATCCATCATCCAACGAACACGTCATTGGCGCATAAACAGGAAAAATGATGCTATCGACAAAAGGCATATGTCTTTTCTCTGTATTTTTCCACGCTCTTCGTTTTTTCAATATTTTATTTTTATTTATTAATCACAAATTTTTATTTCCTAATTTATATTGCAACCAATAATAAATTTAACAAATTATGTAGAATATTTTGGACATTACATACGTAATCATATCTACTAATTATATATTAATTAAATCAAAGTACAATTTCTAATATAATCCGTAATTCGAACCATAAAAATTTGGAAAATGTTATAATTCTTATATTTATATATTTATAAAACTTTTGGATTTTCGAACATTAATCTTCGTTGTACAATGTCTATTCTATTGGATCAAACCAAGGAAAAAGTAGAACAAAATTGAAAAGAGAGACCATTTATTTTTAATATTATGTATAGTTAAAAAATTTTCAATCACATATATATATATATAGACGGTAACATACCTGTATCAATAACTTGTTGAAGGTTTATAATCAGTAATATTATATATATATATAGGATCATATTTATATCAAAAAATTATATTTCAAAATGATTTTAAATTAATTTTCAAAGACTTTATGATAATTTTTAAAAATATTTTTATTATTTTTAAGCTTTTAATGGAAGAAAGTTTACATATATTATTAAAACATATAAATTTTATTATTATTTATGATTGCAGTTATTGCAGTATGATTTTTGTATCTTTTTCTATACGTTTCTTTAATAATGGTACTTTTTAATGCTAAAATATTATAACATTAAAATTGATAAGATAGTAATTATACCGCTATAGGCTAATTCATTTATTACGCTTCTTCGCCCACAATCTCAATCACGGCCAAATCCGCCAATTAATGAGAAAATTGCGAAGGCGTCTCCTCGGTTGCTAAAAATAGAATCTTTCCACGCTTCTAAGAGATTAACAAGGATATTCCCGTTTACCTTGGATAATTACCTGAAGTTTAACGCGGCGAGTTTGATGAATAAGTTTCTATATGCTATAACGTGTCATGTTATTTTACAGGATTGTTACATCCTTGTTTAGACAATCCAAAATCGACAAAAATAAATTTCAAAATAATTTCAACGATAGAACATAGAGATATGCCAATACTACTTACTGTGCACAAACTTATAATAGGCGAATAATTATATCCCTCGGGACATCCGAAACTATGGAAAGTTACAGTCAAAATTTTAGCAAGTCCGAATGCTTATCGCTACTGTTAAAATGTGCCATAATTGCAATAATCTAGATAGAGAGGAAATATGGAGCAAGTCGAAAAGTCCTTCGGCTATTTGTGCGGTATTGATTATAAAGTAGGAAATTTAGTCTAGACTTTTCACAAGTTTTCTTACCAGCGGCACCAAGCTAATTACTTGGGGAGTGTCGGGCTCGTACCGAGATATCGACTTCAACTCGATATTCCGTTATATCACGATCCATTTTATATTTTCCGGCAATTAAAAGACATCGAACTAATAACATATTTTGTTATTTGTTGCGCTTGAATGTCCTTAAGAAAAATACTGTGTAATCGATAAATTTAATGATGTAAAATTTTCGATTGCTTTGTTAAAATTTTTTATTGAAAATGAATATAATTATATAGTTATAATTTGTATAGTTTGGTAAAAGAGTCAAATGAGAATAAAATTCGATTTAAAGATAATTAAAATTAAAATAATTATTTTGGCATTAATTACATTGTTTGAGACAAAGTTGGACTTCTTTTTTGCAATATGAATGTTAACATTTTTTATCTCTTGAACATAAATCTATTGACAAAATTTGATTAACACATCATAATTTTGATCAAAATAATGTCAAAAAGACAAAAAATGAACAGTTAAAACGAATATAAGAATTTTCATTGAGTTAACATTGTAGCACCGCTACCAAATTTTTTTTTCTAAATTTCACTAACACGAAGTATCAATTTTTAGCTTTAAAATTCATTTTAGTTCATTTCGATACGATTTTTTGTTCTCGAGACACAGGTCTATATGTTCAAGCTACATGTATTATGAGAAAAAAGTTATTTTCAAATTTATATATATCTCTAAAACAAAAAATTATATCGAAACGAAATGTATTTTAAAATTAAAAGTTGATACTTTCGCGTGTCATTAATAAAATTTAGAAAAAAATTTGATATACACATCATAAAAACTCTAAAATTCGCTATTTTTTGCCTTTTTGACGCTATTTTTTTTTTTTAAATTGTGACGAACTAGTTAAAATTTTTTTTCAACGGACTCGTTTTTCGCTGACCAAAATACGTCATAAATGACTATTCACATTCGTGCTGCGATATGATGTTGGATATTATTTAAATTATTTTGTTAAAAATTAATTTTTAACACAATTAATTTTGCACAAAATGTCATGGCTTATTTCCAGCTATAATTAAATTAACTTTAAATTAATATAATTAACAAATGTTTCGGCTTACAAAGCCTTCCTCAGTGTTAAAATGCAGAAATACAATCTTAAATTAACCAACCAAATGAATAACGGATACAATGAAAATTTAAAAAACCATCAGTGGTGAAGTGTCAATATATAAAAAAATTCAAACGTCAATAAGTATCATGACAGATGAATAAGATAGCAATATTTGGATATTTCAGTCAACAGTAGATTAATTATGTTCATTGATAAAATAGTTTTTGCCAAATTTTTCGATTGAGATCGAGAATTCAGTTTGTCACAGACTTGTATCAAACGATTTGAAAATTCATTGAGATTTCATTTTATGATATTAATAATTTATATAAAATA